CCGCCACCCAGCTGCACGCCGTGCGTGAGTCCGGGGCTCCGGGGGGGGTCCCGGGGGGGGTCCCGAGGGTCCAGCCGGGGCTGCCCGACCCTGCTGACCCCCCCCACCGGCCCCCCGCAGAGGGCATCGAGAGCGTGGCCATCGTGCAGGTGGTGCCCGAGGGCGGCGGCAGCAGCGTGGAGCTGACGGTGACGTGCGAGGGCGGGTGAGTGGCGACAGCGGCGACAGCGGCGACAGCGGCGACAGCGGCGGGGACGGCGGCGCGGGGTCCCCGGCGCTGACGGGCCGTGCCCGCAGGGTGCCCGAGGAGGTGTGCACGGTGGTGGCGGACGCCGAGTGTCGCACGGCGGAGGCGGAGTCGTGCTCGGCGGTGTCGCCGTCGCCCGGCTGCGAGCTCGTGCTGCGCCAGGACTTCAACCGCTCCGGCCTCTTCTGCCTCAACGTGTCCCTGGCCAACGGCAACGGGCTGGCCGTGGCCACCACCCGAGTGGCCGTGGGAGGTGCGACACGGGGACAGGGTCACGGGGATGTCCCCAGTGTCCCCTGGGTGGGGCTGGGCGGTTCCCGCTCCGGGGAGGTGACAGGGACAGGGTCTGGGACTGGGGATGTCCCTTGGGTGGGGCTGGGCTGTTCCTGCCCCGGGGAGGTGACAGGGACACTGGGACAGGGTCCCGGGGATGTCCTCAATGTCCCCTGGGTGAGGCTGGGCGGTTCCTGCTCTGAGGAGGTGACAGGGACAGGGGGACAGAGGCTGGGGATGTCCTCAATGTCCCTTGGGTGGGGCTGGGCTGTTCCTGCTCCGGGGAGGTGACAGGGACACGGGGACAGGGTCCCGGGGATGTCCCCAATGTCCCCTGGGTGGGGCTGGGTGGTTCCTGCTCCGGGGAGGTGACAGGGACACGGGGACAGGGTCTGGGGATGTCCCCAATGTCCCCTGGGTGGGGCTGGGCGGTTCCTGCTCTGAGGAGGTGACAGGGACAGGGGGACAGGGTCTGGGGATGTCTTCAATGTCCCCTGGGTGGTTCCTGCTCTGAGGAGGTGACAGGGACAGGGTCTGGGACTGGGGATGTCCCCAATGTCCCCTGGGTGGGGCTGGGCGGTTCCTGCCCCAGAGGAGGTGGCACCTGGCCGTGGCCACCACCCGCGTGGCCGTGGGAGGTGCGACACGGGGACAGGTCCCGGGGATGTCCCCAGTGTCCCCTGGTGGCACTGAGCTGTCGCTGTCCCCAGGAGCCGCCCCGGCCACCGGGCGCACCACGCTGTTCGTGGGACTCGTGCTGGTGGCGGCCGCCCTGGGCACGGCCGCGTACACCTACAGGTGACAGTGGGGACACTGGGGACAGGGGGATTCACAGCAGCAGGGAGAGAAAAAGGGGAAAGAAAGGGGAAAAGAGGGAAAAGAAGGAGGGAAAATGGGGAATAAAAATGGAAAAAGGAGGGGGAAATGGGGGGGACAGTAGGGACATCAGGGACATTCTCTATGGGGTGTGTGACACCCTGGGGTTGGGGACACCGTGGCGTTGGGGACATCAGGGACACCTCAAAGGGTGCAGGTGACACCGTGGGGCTGGGGACACTCCTGTGGGGCTGGGGACACTCTGTGGGGTGGAGGTGACACCGTGGGGAGGAGGTGACATCGTGGGGTTGGGGACATTCTCTGTGGGGTTGGGGACACTGGGGACACCCCCCAGCCAGGAGGTGACACCGTGTCCCCCCCCGTGTCCCCCCCGTGTCCCCCCCAGACGAGTCAAGTACACGGCGCTGTCCCCCGCGCTGTCCCCGGCGCTGTCCCCACCCCGGCCCTGGCTGTCCCCAAATGTCACCGTGCGGCGGCTGCTGCAGCGCGCCCTGGGGGGGGTCCCGAGCGGCGAGAGCAGCCCCCTCCTCCGGGCCCGCTCCGTCTAGGGACCCCCGCCCCAAAACCTGCCCCCCAAAGCCCCCCCGGACCCCGCGGGGGGGGTTGGGGACACGCGTGGTGGCCTTGGTGGCACCGGGATTAAAGCTGCCTCTGAGGGGATCCAGGGTGATTTGGGGGGATTTTGGGAAATTTTGGGGGTCTGGGGGTGTCCTGAGTGGATTTTGGGGGGTCCCGGGGGGTCCCCTCCCCCAGGGCCCCTCTGTGCAGAAAGCCCCGCCCCAAATTGGTGACCACGCCCCCTAATTTACATATTAATTAAAGATCTCTTCAACCAACTCTTCCAATGTCCATATTTATTAAAGACCACGCCCCTTTCTGCGGCCACGCCCACACACTCCATATAAACAGATTGCCACGCCCCCTATTTTACATATTAATTAAGGTTAATTTCAGCTTTTCGTCCCCTCCCCTCAATTTCCGCAGCAGTGGCCACACCCCTTAATTTCCATATTAAAGAAAGATAATCTCTGCCATTTGACCACGCCCACTAGTCTGGATATCATCAAGTGACCACGCCCTCTAGTTTGCATATTAATTAATGGTCACCTCCTCATTTTGGCCATGCCCTCTAATTTCCATATCCACCAAGGGCCACGCCCCCTCAACGATCACACACTTTACATTCTAATGAATGACCACGCCCCTTAATTTACATATTATTTAGCTATAGGATGTGGCCACGCCCCCTGATTTGCATATGAATAAATTACTACGCTCTTTAATTACCCTATGAATTAAGCCCGTTTCCGCTGTTAGCCCCGCCCTCTAATTTCCATACCCACCAATGGCCACGCCCCCTCAACGACTATTGGCCACATTTCTAATTTAAATACTCGACCACGCCCCCTAATTTCAATGTAGTTTTCTCGTCACCTATGACCACGCCCATTTATTTGCATATAAATAATTGCCCACGCAACTTAATTACCACAGAAAGATCCCTTTCGCTCTTAGCCCCGCCCCTAATTTCCATATGCGGTCTGTGGCCACGCCCCGTTTTGGCCACGCCCCCGATGCCGCCGCGCGCGCCGCCGCCTTTGCGTCACTTCCGGGGCGGCCCCGCGGCGCGCGCGCAAAGATGGCGACGCCCTATGTGACGGACGAGACCGGTGAGCGCGGGGGGGCCCCGCGGGCTGGGGGGGCTCCGGGACCCCCCCGGGGCTGCCCCGGGACCCCCGGGACCCCCCCCAAA